CATCCAGAACCCAAAGTTTTCAAGCCAGAGAAACACAAAGATTTCCTTACCCTGTTCTGTTCTGCTGAGCAGGAGCCTATCCTGATTTTAGGAAACCTGGCAGCCCAGTAGCACCAGGAACTGAAGCTGTGAGAGAGAATGAAAGGGCAGTCACACAGTTTGGTGTGTGTAAGCTGCTGGCTCTTAACCCTTTTCCTTCCAGGAATTGTCAGGTTCCCCATGCCAGCTCCATAAGCATGTTGTCACCACTCTGGCAAGTTTTATTAACCATTAACTCCCTTTCCCCTGAGATGTCCAAAGAATGGGAGCTATGGAAGATCATGAGATAATTTTGAGATTAGTAGGAAAGTATTAACTTCATGAATATGTAATTGCTTGGTCACTTTTATCACTTACATTAATACCATTAATCCAAATAATACTTTCCCCACCTCTGCCTCTGAGGCCAAACTGCCAAAGCTGATGACTGGCTGGGCAAGGCAAAATATAGAATATTGGCATGTCACAAACAATGCCAGATGTCCCTGACACTTACTGAATTTCTGGAAGATCATTCACAATTATCAACTCTGAAAACTATCACTAAATGGTACTAGAGCTGTGTGGATACAGCCAGGCTTCGAGAAAACATGGAATGTGCAAGGTGTACATTAAATACCAGATTAACACTTCCTAATTATTTTAAGGCCTTAGACCCTGCAGGTGTTGAGAGAACTCTCTTTTACTAACAGGTGTCTATCATATCATATTTTATTGGGTCTGAAAGTTTAGCTGGAAACGAAAGATCCTTTGAATTAGGCACCTTAATTTGTTGAGAATGGAGCCACATGGAATATGGTGTCGGAAAGAGGTTTTCCTTGGCAGAACTCTTTGGGTTGCTGTTGGATTGGTAGTTAGATACAGCCCCTGCTAGCCATGGATTGCTGTTTGCAGTTCAGTATTTCAAGATTTCCTCACCTTGCTTCCCACATCCCCCACCTGCAGCAGCAAGGACTGAAAGTATACACTTTTTTTTTTTTTTTTTCAAAATCCAGTCACTGGCTGGTGATTTGTCCTTAAAAAGAGACATCCTGAAATCTTAAACAGAGATTTTGGACACAAAATACATGGTTAAGAAAAATAATGTGAATGGGGTGTGAGTTCCACTCGTCTCAGATATATAAAGCAATTCAATTTCCTCTTCCATATTTCATCCCTCCTATGAACAAGCACATTTTGCTCCAATATAACTGTCTCACCGGCTGCACATCTGTATATCCCATTTGCTTGCAAAGTACAAGATGTATTTATTTGCTCTCTCAAGCCTTATCAAACATGTAACCGTCTCTCTGTGGAATTTTCATTGGGTTTACCCATTCCTGCTCTCACCAGCGTGGTTCATTTTTCCTTGGAGATCCCAACATCAGACCTATAAAGGCCCAGTTAATGTCCAAACCCCAGGGGTTTGCTGTGAATGGGGAAACCACCTTTTCCTGATGAATTTTTTCCAGTTGACCTAATGGCGAGGGAAGAAAGGCAAACCTATGCCAGTTTGCATGCATGGAAATGGTGAGACCAGAAAAAAAAAAAAAAATCCCAAATGTGTTATTTATGGCATTTCTTCTCATCTTGTGGAAACCGAGCGCTTCGATTCCACCAGGCCGTGTTTTCTTTGCAAGCACAACACAATCAAGCTATTTTCAGCTGGCAATAAAAATCCTTGAGAACCAAAGCAGATCTGGCCACTTTGAGAGATGAAGACTAATGCAATCTGATAATTAGGTCATTTCACCGCCAAGACAGAAAAAGCAATTTAATAACATCTCCCGTGGAGGGAGACGGGGGCTGAAGCCTCTGCTCCCAGCTGGCAGGGGCTGTGCCTGCAACACGACTCTCCATTTGCTTCCATGGGGCATCTGCAGCTCTCTGCAGGCTGAGGTGGTGAGATCCACGCCAGAAAAAGGGGATGAAAAGCCTCTGCTTTCACTGGCACACCCTGGGATCTGTCCAAAGCATCCTGCTTTGTCACTGGCTCCTTTTCTTACACCTCCTGCTATGAAACAGGGATGTTCTGCCTTCCCAGAGCCCTTCCTATCCCTTGGTACTGTTTCTTCTGCACATAAAGGGTCTTGTCTTGAAAACCCCTCAGCCCATGGCCATTTCACATCGCCCTTCTAATATTTCGCTCAGAAGGCAGTGAGAGATTTCTGAGGCAGGGCTAAGTCAAATTAGAAAACCAGCCACGGAGAGAAGGAAAACAAACCCTCGCTCAGCCTTGAGGGTTAAGTTTTCAGCTGCCTCTCACCCTCTTTGTCCTGCCTTGTTGCAACAGGAAAGGGTTTTTTAGAAACTTTTCTTGCAACTTCAGCTTCCCCCTTTGGGGATCTGGAAGGACTTCTCTCGCTGAAGTCCACGCAGATGGTTCTGTTCTGGTTCTCATTGCCTGTATAATAGATTAGAATCGATATTTCATTGTAAGAAAAAGCTTTCTGGGCAGAGCTGCTCCGACTTTGCAGAGCTGTAAAACGGTGACGATGTATATACTCTACCCCTCCTCGGTGAATGGTTGTGAACAAGCCTTACTCATACCAGTGGGTCTGGGATCTCTGGGTCCAGGAGCTCTGTAGTCTTTATCGCTCAGTTTGCATGAGTAAAGGCTGAGTAAGAGTCTACAAAGTCAGGCTGTAACCCATAAATATCTTGTGGATGTTGCACAGGGAACTGCTGGATTCCGTGCCCAGCTCACAGCGTGAGTTCTCGGAAGAGCATCTCCTCCCAGGAGTGGATTGCAGCTCTACCTTATTTCATTTCCATATAGATGGGCACATTCTTCTTCGAGATGGGTCAAATTGTTGCTATTCTAGCTGTTCATAGGAAGTACACGGAGAGAGTAACAAGGGATATTTCTCTCTGATGCAGGGACACGAGCAGAGCAGTATTTGTGCCTTCTCTCAGATCGGGTGGATTTAATGATCTTCGCTTTACTGAATGAACGAGATAATTGCGTTCATTGCCTCTTGTAGATTTTTTTTTTTTTTCAGATTCATCATTCATAAGGCTGTTGGAGGACTTTCCTTCCACTTCAGAATGAACAGAGCCACCCAAGAACAACTTACAAACAGCACGATTGCCCAACGTGCCCGATTGCTCAATCTACAGAAACACTTGTCTCTTCTCCCCCCTCCCTTTGAGTAAAGTTTGTGCATCCTGAGCACGCAAAAACGGGCACTTCTGAGCCAGCTGCGCTTGGCCATTGTGTTTATTGCTGCAACAGTGTGGCACTTCCTCATTCAGAGGAACTCGGCGAGCACTGTCAGTGCCAGGAGAGGCAGTTGGTGGGATGGGTCAGTGCATGAGGAGTGTGTTCTTAAAACCTCCGCACCATGAGGGAGTGTTTGGGCAAAGCACCTCCAGTGAGTGTTTAAAGGCAGCTCATCCCGGAGTTGTAAGCTTAGGAAACAAGTGAGGAGGAGAGTTTAAGCAATAAGGAGCGACTGCAGGCACTGGCATTGCTGTGGAAAGCAAGGATTCGTATTCACAGCCTGTCCTGGACGTGGTAAGAGGCTCCTCGGAGGAGAGTGGCCGACCCACTTGGGCCTGTCTATCCCCCCAGGCAGACCTGCCTGATGATTCACCATCCCACAAGCATCCCCAGCACCCATTTCAGGGTGTTGCAGAGCCCTGGGTGCAAATCGAGGTGTTTATGCCAGTTTCTGAAGCTTTGTGTGCTATGCCCCCTTTGCACTCAGCAGTCACCTTGGCTCTGAGTTTTCCAGCACATGACAGGGCTCCCTGCTGGATTTCAGCTGTTGGCACTCGGGAACTCAGCTCTCCGGGGGCAGCAGGAGCATGTTCTGCAGTGGACACCTGCCTTGGAAACTAACACCCCTGCACTGTCCATCAGGGCTTGGCAAACTTCGGGCTCTGCTTACAAGGCTGTTTTTGTTCCTGCAAGGCTCCCAGCCAGACACTTCATCCTTATTTTTCTGTATCTTAGGCCACGTTCACTGTAGGGAGGACAAGCTATTAAAAATCAGTTTGATTTCTGCATATTTCCACCCTGGCCAGCCCGACCGAGCTGCCACAGGTGAGCCAGGGAACAAAGACGTGAATCCCACACAGTGCAGCCAGGTTGATAACGCTCTTGCTTCCAGCAGTGCTCTAAAAGATCTCAGTCCAGGGATCAAAGCTCTTGTTTCGGAAGGGACGTTTGATTTGAGTTAAGAAGAAGGATTTTCATCTTAGGAGAGCTCTGCTGTGTTTGCCTGGCTTCCCATTCCTGTTAAGTGTCAGGACTTTGGGATGGGATACCCTGCACCTCCGCGTTTCCCTTCACTAAAACAGAAAAAAAAAGGAACAAAAGGGAAGAAACTATTCTGTCTCCGGTATTTTTTTATCAGTGCCCGGGGCTTCGGGACATCATCCTGAGACATGGAAACGGGAGCGAGAGCAGGCTCCCAGATTCCACTCACGGGACCTTCCCAAGTTGAATGTGAAGTCCCGCAGAAGCCTTTCCGGCAGCGCTGGGAGGGTGAGGGGGGTACCCGAGGCAGGTGCTCGGTGCCCGCGGGCGTTCCCGGAGCCTCCCGGTGTCGGGAAACGGAGCAAAGCGCTGCGTGCCCGCACAGCCCCGGGCAGCCCCCGCATCCACCGCGGCTGCTCCAGGACCCTCCGCAGCGGGCACACGGGCAGCAGGAGACCGGCAGCCCTCTCCCGGGACCCTCCGCAGCGAGGACACGGAGACCTGCTGCCTTCTCCCCGTGTACGGGGGACCGGGGTCTCGCCGCTCAACCGGAGGAGCATCCCCCGTCCCTCGGAGCATCCCCGCTCCTCTCCCGCTCCCGATCCCGCCGATCCCTCTCCCGGGCTCCCCCCGCGGCCGCGCCCCCCCGACCACTCCCTCCTTGTTCCATTGGCCTTCGGGGCGGGGGAGGCGTGTCCGGCGGGGCCGCTATTAAACATCCCATGGCCGCCCGCAAAAAGGGGCCGCGGGCGGGCGGGAGCGCAGAGCGGGCGGGCGGCGGGCACCGGGCCGGCTTCGGCATCCCCCAGCTGCTGGATCTTACACCCCTGCCCTCCACACGCACCTCCCTGGCGGGCCGCGGCAGGTAAGAAAAGCTCCTTCTCCATCCTTTCGAGTCGCCCACCCACCCCTCTGTCTCTCTCTCTCTCTCTCTTCCCCCTCCCCACTTCCAGGAGCGCAGCCCCCCGAGGGGGGGAGGCGATGCGCTGTGCTGTGTCGCGACCCCCTGAGATAAAGCTGCCCTTGTGTTGCCCCGGTTTGGAGGGGGAACTCCTGCATTTCTCACGCCCCCATCCCCGAGCTATTCTCAGTGCCTGGAATAATTCGATAGGTATGGCTGGAGCGCCCGAGCATCTGCTTCCAGCATCTGTTTGCGCTCATAACTTTCCATGCACCAGCTGCTCCCCCCCATCCCCCCCGGGATATTTTATCCTGGGGAAGGGCTGGAAGTTCTCATGACAACTCCGTGTCGCTCAAGGCGCGCCGCTCCATCCCTTTCCCTTCTTCTCGCCTGTTGTTCCTGCACAAGAGGGAGGGCAGAAGCAGCGAGTCCCAGCGCTCAGATGGATTTGAGTGCCCGGAGCGGTTTAGAAGGGTGTGAAATGAACCTGTAGCTTCATTCATCGGCAGCGTGGAAACGGTGGGGCTTCTTTATTTCAGATCAGCCTGCTAAAAAAATAATAATAATAAAAAAAATAGGAAGAAGGAGAAAAAAAAAATACAGGCTGTGAAGAGCTGTATTGTTTCAGCTTAGTTCCTGACAGTTACAGGAAAAAATACTGATAAGCAAAGGCAGATGGATTCGGGGGTTCGGTGCCCGGGACCCGCAGGTGTCGGGGGTCAGCGGGACCCGCAGCTCTGTCCCCGCCGCCTCCGCACCCCGCGGGCTGCCCGCACTTGTCTCCCTGTCTCAGCCTTACCTTTACACTTGTTTGCTTTTCCATCCTCGCAGCCGGTGCACCGCGTACACCCCCTGGTGATGGCTGTTCCACTCGTAGTTATTTTGTCATCGGCTACAAATACCCCGAGCGCGTCTCCCTGGCAGGACAGCAGATGCAAACGCCACTTGTCCTCTTCTCTGCTATTTCTTCTCACCCGTTTCCCTGCATAATCTGATCTTTTTTTATTTATTTTATTTTTTTTAATTTACTTTTTTCCCCCACTGCCTGTCCGTGAAGGGCAGACCCTTCTCCTGAGAGCAGCTCAGCACTCCGTGTAACTCGAGTCCTCCCCAAACCAGCGGAGAAGCCCTGGGGAATGACTTTTAAGGAGAAAGGTTACAGGGGTGGCCGTGCCCGGCAGCGAGGGAGCAGGAATGTGGGAACAGGCTTCGCTGGGGCGAGAAGCTCCTTTGTTCTGTTTTCCGAGGGCAGCAGGGAAGGCTTGGCTGAGCTGGTGCTGGTGCTCTCTTGGCAACATGTGCCCGGCTGTCTCCGCAGGGCTGTGTGGCGTCAGCCTGGGAATAACCGCTCCAAGCGCTCGTTAGTGCTCCTCTCCACTCCCTCCCCTCTCCTTGCACTTCTGAGTTTTCCCTCAGTCTTTAACCTTCTGCACAAATTCCCTTCGAGCTGCTCGTTGCAGAGTTGAACGTGCGGTGTGAGCTCTTTCCCCGGGGAAGGGCTGCAGGGGGATGCTGAGGGGAAAGCGAGGGTTTGGGCTCCTCATCGTGGCATTGCCCCAAATGCTGGCTCGGAAACGCTGCAGATGCAGCACAGCCCCGTTTTTCCCGGCTCCTCCAAGCATCCCCTCGCAGCAGAGCAAGCCAGGGCTCTCCCATCCCATCCCATCCCATCCCATCCCATCCCATCCCATCCCATCCCATCCCATCCCATCCCATCCCATCTCATCCCTTCCCAGTAATGCTGTGTCAGTGCCAGTGCAGGTAATTACAAGCTGCGTTGCCTGTTCTCCCTTCCAGGAGGAAAGGTAACCTGGATTAATAATAATAATAATAACACACCTAGTGATGATTGAATTTCCAGCTGCGTGTGTGTGTCTGGCTGCACTGGGCTCAGGTATAGAAATGCTGGGCTCAGTTGGTGGGTGCTGGGTTGGTTCTTTTTTTTTTTGTCTGGAGAGGTTTGCAGGGCTGGTCCCACACTGGCATTTTTGGTGCCACCAGCAGCTGATGCTGGGGTGGGGAGGGGGGCAGCAGCCTTGCTCTGCCTTGGAGCAGCAGGTGGATTAGCAAAATGAGAAGTACCATTAGGTTTTCATGCTGGTTGTGTCTGGGATTTTTGGGGGGGTCCTCTGGTGAAACCAGTTGGGAAGGTCAGGATGAACACTGGTCAGGTGTGTGGTCAGGCAGCCAGTGGATCCACTGGGGGTTTCACAGGACCTGCCACCAGCAGGAGTGAGATCAGACCTGCTGGCTGGTCCCTGTGCACGGGGCTGGTCCTGCTCCCATCCCGCACGTCCCGGCATCCTCCCCACTCCGAGCACTCACAAGGATGAGAGGCAGTTTGGGCTGTAAAAGCAAGAAGACAACTATGCTGCAGTGGAACATGCCAGAGCTTTGTGGGATAAACTTCCAGCAGTCTGCAAATCCAGGCACACCCCTGGATTTAGGGATCCTTAGAGCCAAATGGGTGCAGGTCCACTCCCAAGGGCACAGCACCCACTGAGCAGCCAGGGAGGGGAGATGCTGGGCAAGGTGCAGTAGGTAGAAGGTGCTGAGCCCTTCAGGGGAGGAATGTGGCAATGTAGGATACCTGATTCGGGTCCCAAACTTCTGAATGCAGCCAGCTCACTGCAGGAAGCTCCGTTAGGATTTCAGTGATTTGTGGAATTCAAACAAATGTCCTCAGGTCAAGACTTTTGTGAGGGAAGCTGCATAGTCAGACACTTGAGACTTTACAGCTTATCTTTCCCTCCACCACAAGTTTTCCTCTAAAATCCAGCAGACAATGCAGGGGAGAAAAAAAAAAACTCCAGACTTCAAAATAAACTGTTTCCTAGGCTGTGTGTTTCCATCAGCTTGGAACAAAACAGACTTTGACCGTGGAAGTCGAACATGACTGTGATTATAGGATGTGGTTTGTAACTGATCGATTTGCAGAGCAATGCAATGGCTTTTCAAGAAGTTTTTTTGTGTGTGTGTGTGTGTGGAATGTATCAACAGTAATTTCGCTTCCCTGCTGTGTTCAGGTTTCTAATAAACGTGTTTTCCAGCCAAAACAAAAATCATTTAAGTGAGCATTAAAAGTATTCTTTTGTATTTTTGAGAATGACATCCTGATGGGAATGAGAACAAAAAGGTGTGTGGGGGGAAAAAGTGGATCCTTAGGCAGTGCAGGCAGGACAGTTGTACAAGGAAGAATAAATGTACAGAATAAGTAAGAGGGCAGCTACACCATAAGTGTTCGTTGCTGAGGGCTGTGCTCAAAATGGGCATTACTGAACCTATTGAGAGCTGCCAAAATGTCTTGTAGGAGCTGAAGTCACAGATGACTAATCTTGGCAAATAGGCATCGGGACACATTCTTGCACAACAAACAGGAGTGAGGAAAAAAGAGGAGGTAAAAGTGAACCCTGAAGAGATCCCGGAGGGAAGAGCAGCCTGCAAGGAACTGAGAGCACAGTCATGCTGCTGTTTGTCACCTGCTCTTTTCCTAACAAGTGTTTGCTGAGCTAAAGCCCTTGTAATGTGGTTGTGGAAGGATGTGGGAGGGCTGAGGAGCTGTTTGGAATCCCTCAAGTTTCTGGAACACCTCTGCAGGGCTTTAGGAGCTGCTGTTGGGAGAGGAGAAAACGTCTTATCTGCAACTGTTGTGGGATTCGAGTCAGAGGAAGACAGAGGTCCTGCTGGGCAGGGTTTGTGCTCCACAGTGACTGCAGTTTTGTTGGGCCTTGGACAAACTCAGATGAATTTTGGTAGCATTAATTTAGGGAGAGCATCGCGATTTAATCCCCTGCTCTGGTAAATGGTTCTGAAGTCTCCTCTGCCACGACAAAGGGACAGCAGGCATTGCCCAGCACTCGGGTTTAGCCTTGTCTCCTGCATGGGGCACGTGTAGATGGAGCAGTGGCATTAGTGCCTCTCTCCTCTGCAGCATTCCAATTCCATTTCCTGATACACAGAACATGACTTAATGGATGACGCACTTGTTAAAAGCTGAACCTGGGTCTAAGCCAGGCCTCCCTGAAACAAGTTTGGTGGCTTCTGCCCTCAGGAAGAAGGGTTTGTAGCCTCTCAGCTGAGTCTTAATTGGTGATGTTTAAGGCCCATGGGACACTTGGAGCCGTTACCTGTTGGAGATGGAATCGGCTGCCTCGGGCTCCTGAGGGGAAGGTGCTGGCGCTTGCTACTGAAGGTGTTATGAAGACAGGTGGTTCTACTCCACTGTAGCCTTTCGGTAGTTGTATCACTGCAAGGTTTAATTTACTCTGTCCAGCTTATGCCTAAAACCTGCAGAGATCCCAGTGAGTTTCTGGAGTTAAAGAGGAACTAATGCCGCCCTCATTCCTGCCCTGTGCAGAGAGTACACAGCTCACTCTTTCAGCTTAGTTAAAAAAATGATCTGAGATCCAGTTTCATGGAAATCACTGCTATTTGCACTTTCCAGGTTTATTGCTTTTCTCTGTACACACCACCCTCCCTTTTGCTGGTTTGTCGCTGACAAACAGCCCGGGAGACGCGTTGTAAGTCACCACAAACAGCTCCAGTGTTTACGTTTGGGCAGGCGGATGTTAAAGCGAGCTGTTTGCTTCCCAGTACACAGAAAGCACAGTTGCAAATGGCAGAGGGATTCTCTGGGTGTCCAGCTTTAAAGTGGATGTTGCTGAGGGACTTGTGTGACGCGATGCCTGGGGGGCTTTCCCCGGGGAAGAGGAGTGCCTTCCTCGCAGTGGCTCCTGCCCGTGCATGGTTGTGAGCGCTGAGCATTGCTCAGAGTGTTGTTAAGGAAAAGGAAACTTCCTGCAGGTCTGCAGGACTCGATCCTTGCGGGTTTGATTCCTCATGCTGTCCCTCCAGGATCTAATACGACGTTTCTCTTTCTCTTGCAGACCATGCCCTCTCTATGACGGTTGCTTGCTAAGCTAACTCTGCATGCCAGAAGACTGTCCTTGGTTGATCCAGGGGCTGTTGGGGACTCCGACCTCTCCCCGGTTTTTCCGCGTGTGTGTGTTCCTCTAGAACTTTCAAAACTGTTTCTCCAAAGGGTTTTGCAGAAACTCAGACTGTTTTCTAAAGCAGAAGCACCTCAGTCCACAGCAGTAGTGATGGGCAGCGTGCGAACCAACCGCTACAGCATCGTGTCTTCGGAGGAGGACGGCATGAAGCTGTCCACCATGGCCGTGGCCAACGGCTTTGGAAATGGGAAGGGCAAGGTACACACCAGGCAGCAGTGCAGGAGCCGCTTTGTCAAAAAAGACGGCCACTGCAACGTCCAGTTTATTAACGTGGGGGAGAAGGGACAGCGATACCTGGCAGACATCTTCACCACCTGCGTGGACATCCGCTGGAGGTGGATGCTGGTTATCTTCTGCCTGACCTTCATCCTCTCCTGGCTTTTTTTTGGCTGTGTGTTTTGGTTGATTGCGCTGTTGCACGGGGATCTGGAGAACCAAGAGAACAGCAAGCCTTGCGTCTCTCAGGTGAGCAGCTTCACCGCAGCCTTCCTGTTCTCCATTGAGACCCAGACCACGATCGGCTACGGCTTCAGGTGCGTCACAGACGAGTGCCCCATCGCCGTGTTCATGGTGGTTTTCCAGTCTATAGTGGGCTGCATCATCGATGCCTTCATCATTGGCGCCGTCATGGCAAAGATGGCTAAGCCCAAAAAGAGGAACGAAACTCTGGTGTTCAGCCACAACGCCGTGGTGGCCATGAGAGACGGGAAGCTGTGCCTGATGTGGCGCGTGGGGAACCTGAGGAAAAGCCACCTGGTGGAGGCGCACGTGCGAGCGCAGCTCCTCAAATCCAGGATCACGTCGGAAGGGGAGTACATCCCCTTGGATCAGATAGACATCAACGTGGGGTTTGACAGCGGCATAGACCGAATATTCCTGGTCTCCCCGATCACCATAGTACACGAGATAGACGAAGACAGTCCTTTGTATGACCTGAGCAAGCAGGACATGGACAATGCTGACTTCGAAATTGTAGTAATATTGGAGGGCATGGTGGAGGCCACCGCCATGACCACCCAGTGCCGTAGCTCCTACCTGGCCAACGAAATCCTCTGGGGCCACCGCTACGAGCCCGTGCTCTTCGAAGAGAAAAACTACTACAAAGTGGACTACTCGAGGTTCCACAAAACATACGAAGTGCCCAACACACCCATCTGTAGTGCCAGAGACTTAGCAGAGAAGAAATACATTCTCTCGAACGCGAACTCCTTTTGCTACGAGAACGAGGTCGCCCTCACCAGCAAGGAGGAGGACGAGATCGACACGGGGGTGCCTGAGAGCATGAGCACAGACACCCACCCCGACATGGACCACCACAACCAGGCCGGCGTGCCTCTCGAGCCGCGGCCGCTGCGGCGGGAGTCGGAGATATGACTGGCAGGCTCTTCCTCTCCCTTTTGGTTGACAGTTTAAAAAAAAAAAAAAAAAAAAAAGAAAACAGAAACAAAAACAAACACAAAACCCACATCTATCGGTCAAAGGCACGTTGACCTGAGAAGTTGGCCCGGAGCAGTTTTCAGACAACGGTACTGTTGAAGAGCGGTGTGAAGGCAGCAGACCTGAGAAACCCAGGCTGGTTTTAGGGCTGTCCTCAGAGGAGGGACGACAGAAAACGAACTCTAAACACAAAGCACTAAACATGTCTAAGTATGAACAGAAGGCACATATGTTGTAGAATAAATTATGTATATATTTTTTTACAAAAACTTGAACTTGCAGGCAAGCTTTGGTTGGGTTATTATTATTTTTTTTTTTTTCAACTTTTTCCAGAATGCTTCTCTCTAGGGAACAAGAATGTTTTTAATGGCATAACAAAGGCAAGGATCTGCCTTATTATTATTATTATAATTATTTTTTAAAAAGCTGCTGCTAACTACATGAACACAAATGGTTATTTTTGTTGCAGTGTAGTTTTTATTTTCTCTTGTGTAATTTAAAAAGAAAAGAAAAGAAAAAAAAAAGAAAAAAAAAGTCAGTGTTGAACTTTTTGGGTTGAAAAGCTCGTGATCAGTTCAGAGAGGCCGATGTTGCCAGAAAGTCTAAACTCCTTTTGAGGCCAGTAGTTTGATAGCTAGAATCAATTTCTCTCTTTCCAATTACATAAGGGGCATTATGTAATATCAGGCCAATCAGTAGCCTCCAGCAAAATTATGATTTTTGGGGGGAGAATTTAATTCTCTGTCTAAAGTGAGACAAAATATACCTATACGTAGGAAAAAGTACTAAGTGAAAACTACCTAAATGGATACCAAAGAAAATGCACAGTTTTGCACAGTGGAGTTTATTTAAAAAAAAAAAAAAAAAAAAAAAAAAAAAAAAAAAAAAAAAAAAAAAAAAAAAAAAAAAAAAAAAAAAAAAAAAAAAAAAAAAAAAAAA